ACGTATTACCTATTAAGGTTTTCAAAGGTAACATCAATTGTAACAGCACAAACATCTCTTGTTCTTTTTTCAAAGATTTGCGTAGCGACGATTGCGTTTTTGACACGTACACAGGAGGAGTTTGGCATTTCACTTTTTCTAAAAGTAGCAAGGTTCCCTACTTAGATAAAAGTTTCCTTTACGAAAGTAAGGTTTCTTGTACAAGAGCCATATGACATTACCATGTGCCATTTTGTATTATTTGCTTCGGTTAGCGCAGTAAGGGTTTTGATATGAGATAAATAAGACAACGCAAATCATGGTGCTTGCAAAATGTTGACGGAATTTTTGGAAAACAATCATAATTTTAAGAAGAAAGGATAAAGGGACTTTGTAGATATTCAAGGAACATTAAAGCGATTTTCCGGGTTTTTGTTGTGTAACAAATGCTACCTTCGCCACCTGTAAAGTACGGTGCTGCTCAATAAAATGCAAATATTTTGCAATGTGTCATATAAACTAGATAAAACACTACTTGCAACAATGGAAGATAAACCTTTTTTCTTGCTGTTTTATAAAATTCCATACTTTTTGGAAATTTTCTGGATAACATTGTCAATGTGAGAGTTGAACTTTAGTTCGTCATCAATAATCACGCCAAGATATCTAATCTCCCGAACTCGATCAATAGTCTCTTCATCAATTACAACAGAGACGTTCTCATTTTCTCGATTCCGCGAAATTACCATAAATTTGGTTTTACTTGTATTAATTTCAACTGCATATACTTCAACCATCTACTTAGAGAACGCAAATCTTCATTCAAGTGTAAAACGGCATCATCTACATCCTTAGCTGCAATGAATAACACAGTATCATCTGCAAAAAGATTAATGTCGCAAAATCGTAAAACACGTCACAAGTCATTAATATACATAATAAATAAAAGGGGCCCTAATACACTTCCCTGGGGCACTCCAAGGTTATTCTCCACAGTCCGTTGAGTTCTGTCAGACAAATAGCTTTCAAACCATTTATATGCAGTACTCGTAATTCCAAAGCGCTTGATTGATCTTAACAATAAGGTCCTAGAAATTTGTATCAAAAGCGCGTTTTAGATCCAAAAAACAGCAACAATCGTATCTTTTCACTCCAAGTTGATTTTTCACTTTGCTTATACCAAATTCAACGCGTTTCACAAGAATGACCTTCCCGATATCCCGATTGTTCTGGTATCAACAAACTATTACTATTCAAATACTCCAACAGCTCGCCTTTAACAACAAGTTCTAAAATTTTCTCTAATGTGTGCAACATGTTGATAGGACGAAACTCTTCGGCTTTAATCGTTCCAGCAACTTTTTGAATAGGGACCACTGAGGATTCCTTCTAAATTTGTGGCACATGTCCAGTTTGCAATGATTCATTAATAAGGTATAGCAAGATGTGGTCAATGATATGAAAGCAATCTAGAATAGCTCTAGCATAAACATTATCTACTCTAGCCGATTTTCGTAATGAAAAACAAATAACTCTAAGTTCATATAATGTAATTGGGTGAAAACCTTCAAATCTACAACTACTATTAACTGACTGTTTTATTTCGTCAGGTTCATCGGCCAATTCAATGGATTCAATGAAACACTGTCTTTAAAATTATCAATAAATTTAGATACAATTACGTGTTTTTGCCTGTTCTAATGTGCCATTAAAAGTTATGGACCGCGGTTTGCAATTACTAGGTTTTAAAAAAGATTTCAAAATTTTCCATAACTCTTTGCTGATGTTTTGATGCTGATCATTCTTCCTTTGCACATATTCACAACGAGTTTTCTTTATCGATTGTGAATAATTATTACGCACGGTTGTGTACCTATTCCAATGATTATCAATATTTGATCTACAAAACTTTGTGTACCATTTGTCCATTTTTCGTTTAAGACGCAAAAGATCCAATTTGTACCAGCTGTCCGAATTTTTCAAAGAACGAGTGTCTTCGCAAGCTTGTTTGGACTCTTTTGGTTTGATCACAATAACCGGACGAGTTTTACGATTACTCTGTTTGTTGCTATTACTGTTAATGCTACTGTTACTGTTGCTGTTACTAATATTTTTACTTTTACTTGCACGACTATGTATTTTTACAACATCCGCAAAACTCGCATTTTCTTGAAACACTTTATCATCATTATCACTATTACTAATCACTAATTTACCTTTTTTGCGTCCGGTATTTTGGTTCGATTCCAACCCAACCGTCCTAGATACACTGCGCTGGTCATTCGTTACAGCTAATTGTTTCGCCGCAGTAATTGAAAAAAAATGAGTTTTTCTTATTGTCCAATTTCTCACAAATCTATTTTTCAATATCATTTACATTTCGGCTAATGTTTACCATCCCGCTCTTTAAGGCGATGCCTATCTGAGCAGCAATGTAATATCACATGCCAGTGATCGAGTCCGAGCAGGCCAATGACAAGGCCTATACCAACAGCAGTGTTTGACAGTAGGTAGCATGTCCCGGGCTCAAATCGTTTATTTTGCTGTGCTGGACCCGCTGTCACGGTATAACATGTTACGCCTGCGCCTGCCACTGGGCTGAGTCCGAGAGTTGAAATACATTCTTCATCTCTTCCTCTATCCTTTTGGTGCGCGAGATCAGATCATTCTGCTCGTCGCAGCTCTGATCTGATAGACAATTATCACACTTGAACAGAACATTTGCATTGTCTATAAGCTTTGCCTGAGTCCGCGTAAGTGTAGTGCATTTGCAATGAAATACACGAGCAGGTGTACCCACACAGATAACCGGGAAATCACTTACCAAAATCCCCAAATTACATATTGCACGCTCTGCCATATCTATCCACCTATACACAATGTATTAAACATAAACTTTACATGCAACACTACAGACAAATAACGTTCGCTATTACAAATGGCAAGAGACTTGTTTTTAGAAGATTTGAATTTTTTTTAATTAGTCGAAGGGACTTAGAATTTCATTAAATTTTGCCCACCGGTAGAGTTTATGGTTAAATGAACGAAAAAAAAAAATCTAAAAACTATTGTCACAATTTCTCCACCACCCTTTTGAACATTATTAATTTTATATAGTGCTAGCTGAGTGTGCACGGCCCCGATGCCCCGATTCAAACAAGAATGCTGTACACTGGAATCGCTTTTTACGCGGGTGATACGTCCCGCGTAAAAAAAACCGCGTAAAAAAAACCGCGTAAATTCCGGAATCCGCTTAAATTCCGAAATCCGCGTAAAAAAAAAACCGCGTAAAAAGCGACTCTAGTGTATAACGATATACCGCGTCAATTCTGAAATCCGCGTAAAAAAAAACCAAAATCCGCGTAAATTCTGGAATCCGCGTAAAAAAAAACCGCGTAAATTTCAAAATCCGCGTAAAAAAAAACCGCGTTAAAAAAACCGTGTAAAAAAAACCGCGTAAAAAGCGACTCCAGTCTATTTTCAGTTTCATTTGTATGAGAGCCCCCCTTTCAGAGAGGGGAGGGGTCTCGAACCATCATAAGAACCTATTCCGGGATCTAAGAAATTAAAGCTCGCATATTGTGCAAACTGCACGAACTTCCCATCGTCCAAAATCAGCAAATCCCGTTCGCATCATTTCCTTCAACAAACAAGCAAAGCAACTTAGGAAAACAGTAATTAACTGGCCACGTGCCAACGTGTTTGTCTCAGCCCTTCCTGCCCGCGTGGAAAAGTAGTTTAATTATCTCACCATTGCTAATCGACGGAAGAACTTTTCCTTCACACGCTACTTCTGATTTGCTTTGGATGAACGAAGAAGGTGGAGAAACTTCAATCTAATACATCAATTCTTGAAAGTGGTGTATCCTTTTTGCAAACCGGGAGGGGCCTGTTGTTGACCTTAATTCTTCGAGAAATGTGATTCTCTGTGTGCTCGGATAAGGTGAAGAAAGGATATTGATTAAATGAATAAATAATCAGGCAAACTTTCTGCCCGATCCTTCCTTACAGTATGTCCTTTACAGAAAGAAATTTGACAGAAGAAAACTGAAATGCATTCACTGGGATTGAAGAAAACATACATACTATGCAACACAACTTTGTCCAAGACCACAAATTGATTCGACTTCTGTACAAAAAGCTACTAACCTTTTACTTTAGACCAACTGCTCTACACATACCTACAAGCTCACATACACGCCTATAGGTATGCGTGGAGCACTAGGTCAAAAGTAAAATAATAATAACTTTTTGTTCAATCAGTTCAGACATTAAAAAGTTTTTGTTAGAAAAAACTTTTTTTCCTTTAAAGTGCCCATCTCGCGATGCATCAACGGATGGTAGTAAACATAATTACCTATCTTGAGGCAAAGTTTCATCCAAATCAAACATCGCCATTGTTTAATCGACTTTAAATTTTAAAAATCGATTTTTTTAATGTATTCTTCAGTATTTTTTTTTTCGATAATTTGGACATTTTTGTAGGAGTTGTAATTTTTCCATAATATTTTGACGTAGGACTAGGTCTGTGATTTCTATATGGGGGTACACTTTGTGAAAACCGAAAATGGAACATGAAACAAAATTGTGAAAGATTTTGAACGTTGATATATAACTCAGCTAAAAAAAATATCACCAATCGATCAGCAATATTTCTACGCATCAATAGCAATGCTTTCGACTGATGATTTTCAACAAGAAACTATTGAAAAGTGGAAAATGTCCAGCATTGTCCAAAATCGTCGAATTAACTAATAAATCGACCAATTACGTACATGTTTATGCTGCTTTCCCAACACAGTCATCAGAGAATCATTCCAAGACGAAACATGTCGATGTAGCATTACGACGAGGCTCGGTCATTCGTTTCTAGACCGTCTAGTAATATAGTTCGTTCGTTCGTTCGCTTCGCTATGGAGTTTTTTCTTGTTCGTTCGTTTTATTGCTACGTTCGCGTCGTGGAAGTGTCGTCATCGACAGGCGCATTGGCAAGTCTAATTGCACTTGCCATTAAACAAAGCATGGTACGCAAGTGTACTACTGCTCCTGCATCGGAGGGCCCTAGCAAGAAGGCCCAAACGGATCCCAGCGCTGCTTCGGATGACGCAGCAAATCGGCTGCTACAGAGCATCCAATTCTCGGTGCTCGGAGTAGAAAATGGCGGAAATTGCGAAAAAGGAGCGGATTCCCCCGCTGTAGGACGTCGCCCAGCTTAGGGATGAGCTGGCAAAACGCAAATTGTTCCCGCGATTCAAAATCTGTAGCGTTGAAACAAAGATCATGTGCTCCAGCCTACAGCAGTACAAGTCGGTCGGTGACCTGCTGAAGAACAGCACAGTGAAGTTTTACACTCACGATTTGCCTTCGATGAAACCATTGAAGGTTGTTTTACGTGGTCTGCCGTCGTACGAAGCGGCTACCGTTAAAGATGAACTGGTGAGGCTCGGATTGAAACCAGAGGCAGTTCACCCAATGAATCGACGGCCTATGCCCAATACCAACTAACGTGACCAACTGTTTCTGGTCCACCTCACGAAGGACTCCACCACCCTTGCTGAGCTCAAGAGCAACATACGTGACCTGTTTCAGGTCATTATCGACTGGGAATACCACAAGCCGCAACACCTTGATGTGACCCAATGCACAAGTTGCCTCTCCTTCGGCCATGGCACGAAGAACTGTCATATGAAACCACGCTGCGACAAGTGTGCTATGGCCCACTCGACGGCTATCTGTGCTCAAGCTGGTGACACCGTCCCGAAGTGCGTGAATTGCGGTGGAACTCACCTTACCACTACTCGGGACTGCCCCAAGCGAACGGAATTCATCGCCTCACGGCTGCTGCAGCTCTGCCAAATCAAGGTTCTTCGTCGGCGCCTGGACTACCGTATGCCCGTGTTGCCTCAGGTGACTCAGTTGACGAATATCCGTTAACATCAGAGGAACTAGTAGCGCTGGTTGCAGAGGTGATCGTCATTCTGCGCACCTGCAAGACTCGATCTGAACAGCTTCATGCTGCCTTGTCACTAGTCACCAAATATGGACCGTGAAGCTATAAAAATTGCAAATTGGAATGCTTGCTCACTGACGAACAAGCATAGAGAGCTACTCGATTTCCTCAACACCAAGAAGGTCGAACTTGCTATCATCACCGAGACGCATTTGAAGCCCGAACTGAACGTATTCCTTCCCGACTTCCGGCTCGTCAGACTTGATCGCACCTGCTCTGGAGGTGGAGGAGTGGCTATCGCTGCAAGACGGAACCTCAGTTGCCGGTTGCTACCAAACTTCCAGCTGAAAACAATTGAAGCCATCGGAGTGGAGGTGAGCACATCACTTGGTTAAATCACCATCATCGCGGCCTACTGCCTCAAGCAAACCAACATCAGGGACGGGTCGTCAGTGGCACTCCGGAAAGACATCATCAAACTCACCCGGAGGAGCGGGAACTTTATCATCGCTGGCGATCTGAACGCAAAACACCAAGCTTGGGACAACGGTCGGAGCAATCGAAACGGCACCATCCTGAATGAAGACCTGCAAGAGGGCCACTATACCATCTTGGCCCTGGACTCTCCCACCCGGTTTAGTCGGTCTGGGGTCCATGCGACCATCGACATCTTCGTAAGCAACATGGGACACAACATCTCGCAACCTGTGGCATTCCAGGAGCTGAGCTCTGGTGGTGGCCGAAGTTGGGTCGTCGGTAAACCGATTCGAAGCTTTCCAGCGCAACTACCATCGCGTCAACTGGGCGCAATATCAACACTGCGTCGACACAACCATCGACTATGATGTCCAACCGGGGACGTCCGAAGATGTTGACCGGTGTCTACAAACCATCGAGGAGGCGATTTCCCGGGCCAGGGAACAACACGTGCCAGAATCCAGACAGGTGAGTAACACTCTGAACCTTGACAGCCCTACCAAAGATCTCATTAGACTCCGTAACACCATTCGTAGGCAGTACCAGCGTTCTGGCCTGCCTAACTTGAAGACCAATTGTAATCGATTAACAAAGATCATTCAGGTCAGGATGGGGGATCTCAGAAATAACGATTTTGCTTGTAAGATCCGTTTTCTCCCAGATTGTGCTAAGCCCTTCTGGAAACTTACAAAAATTCTTAAAAACAAGCCTTGGCCCATTCCACCACTGACCCCACTGACCCAGTGGTTCATCTGATAACTCCTGAAGAGAAGGCTGCCGCGATAGGTCAACACTTCGTCAGCTCCCATAATCTCTGACAAAACATCGTCAGCCATCATGAATCTGAGGTTGCTGAAAATGCAACCAACCTTCTTCAGATTCCTAACATTTTTCCAGAGGAATCCGAGATTACGGCTGACTAACTGTTGGCCTATATCAAATCATCTAAAAACAAGAAGGCCCCAGGTTTCGACAACATCCTGAATCTGGAACTCAAACACTTGAGTTCCAGATTCTACAACCATCTGGCACTGATTTTTAATCAGTGCCTCAGACTTGGCTACTTCCCCTCGTGTTGGAAGTCAGCTAAAGTCATACCTATCCGGAAACCTAGGAAGGATCCGTCCTCTCCTTTAAGTTATCGACCAATCAGCCTTCTCTCAGGGTTATCAAAACTGTTCGAAAGAGCAGTATACCACCGGCTCCTTACATCTGACGAAGAAAACAACTTGTTACTTGATTAACAGTTTGGTTTTCGGAAAGGTCGTTCGGCCGTCCACCAGCTGACTCGAGTAACAAACATATGACGGAACAAGTCTGTTTCGAAAACATCTGCCATGGCGTTGTTGGACGTTGAAAAAGCGTTCGACAATGTCTGGCATGATGGCCTGGTGTTCAAATTGCAACACTATGGACTTCCAATCTTCCTAGTGAAGATAATAAGCAACTACCTATCGAACAGGATGTTCCAAGTCTCTCTGAATGGCATCACATCGGATGCTTTCAACATCGATGCCGGGATTCCACAAGGAAGCATCCTTGGCCCCATCCTATTCAACCTGTTCACCTTCGATATGCCCGCTCTCCCTGATGGTGGATCGTTGTCTCTGTTCGCAGATGACACATCCATCGTCTACAAAGGTAGGGTCATCCGAGCTCTGACTGCCAAACTTCAGAGAGGCCTGGACTTCCTGTCTGAATATTTCAACAGCTGGAAGATCCGTATCAAATTCGGCAAAGACCCAGGTCATCATCTTTCCACACTCTAAATCTCCCAGACTTGTTCCGTAGGAGACAAATAAGATCTGCCTGAACGGCACAGTGGTGGAAAGGTCGAAATAGCCTGTCTACCTAGGCCTAAAATTAGACTGTAAGCTGATTTTCAGGGAGCACGTTGAAAAAACCAAAACCAAGTGTAACATCTTGATAAGATCGTTGTATCCACTTATCAACAGGTGGTCTACTCTATCCCTGAAAAATAAACTTGTTGTCTGCAACAAATCATCCTTCTCGTAATAGAATACCAGATGCCAATCTGGGAGAGTTGCGCAAAATGCCATCACCTTAAACTCCAAAGGATCCAGAACAAGATCCTTAGGATGCTTTTAAACAGTCCCCTGCGAACTAGAAATTCTGAGATCCACCTCCTAGCTGGAATTCAAACATTAGAAGAACGGAGAGTTTTCATCCTGGAAAGGTTCAGAGACACCTGTCTGAGATCAAGTCACCAGATCATACGTGATCTAGCACGTTAGGTTAAGTTATGCTTGTAGTTAGGTAGGTTATCACTTTTTCCAATTCAAACAAAAACACCTATAAGGGGTATGCTGTAAACTAGTTGCAAAACAAAATGCTATTTTTCACTTTGCCTTATCCTATCCCCACTAGATTTGAATTAAAACAAGTTCTGCTTTAACCGGTCGCATCACTTACCATATGAGTCCTGATCTAAAAATAACCTACCTCACTAACACAGCATGGAGATGTTGAGGAATTCTCGGTCTCGTAGATTCCTCGAGAATCAAACCACTCCCACGCAAGCTAACCATGCCATTCAATAAAGGAAGTTTGCTCTATCAGATGGTGGTGTTAGATTGCTTTGATGTGTTTTGATTATCGAGGAATTTGCATTTAAAGCCATTGTTTGCGTTTGGTTGTTCCGCCTATTTCAATTGCTGGTCTAGATAGAAGAGAATAGCAGATATAGTGCGAAATAGGTAAGAGGTGATCACAAAAGAGGAAATCGATAGAGAATTAGCTACCATCCTTCTGCTTCTAAGCCCCTTACAGTCGTCGTCACAGCAATGAAAACTAGTATCGCACCGCTTTTGGTTCTAGGTCACTTGCTGGTTGCAATTTTAAGATCAGGATTCACTGTGATGCGATCAGTGAAAGCAGCAGAAATTTCCTATGGAATCTTTTAATGGCTCTGAAAAGGGCCGGTTTTGCTAGATTTCGACGGAGAAATTAAGAGCGTTCATCACGAATACGACGAGCCAACTGAATGTCCTTTGGCATAATTGTGACACGCTTGACGTGCTTGACGCACAGGTTGGTATCTTTGAACAGACCGACCAGATGGCCTTGCTGGATTCCTGCAACGGCCGAGCTCTGGAAGCGCAGATCGGTCTTGAAAGTCCTGGGCGCTGTTACCTACTCTGAAGACGCCAAGCGAGAGTTAAGGTTCGTTCATTTTCCCTATCTGAAACGGCCCTTTTCAGGGCCAATAACTCATTTCAAAAGAGATGGTTTAGGAGTTCTACTAAACTTGTCATGAATGAAATTCTTGGAACCAGCAAAATGGTAGCAATCAAGCTTCTAATCCTGAAGCAACTGGGCCGACTCTCTGAGTGCCCATTTCTTGTAGCGAAGCACGCTGCCTTTCCAACCACCGGGTCAACCCGTGTCTACCAGTAGCCGCAAAAAGAAGTATTTATGGTGATCATATCATATGGTTGACACAAAACTGCAGGACTGCATATTCTTTGCTGCATACAGCATAAATATTTACATTGTAAGCTTGAGCTTGATTGACCGCCCACGGTTGCTACTCTGTTATTGCCAGATCAGCTGTAATTACACAGAGAACCAATAGACGATGCTTGGGACTAGCAATCATCCTCAATGTGTAAAAACTGGTGATCTTAAATTAGGCAATACCAGCGCCGGCCACGCCCGAACACAGGTCAAGAAAGGAATGGGAAGGATTGTGTTGACATGACACTCGCTTTGATGGAAGCCGAGAACACCTCTGCACTTCCACGAGGAATCACTGGGATGTCGGATAAGAGGGTTGGGTTTGCAGCAGGGTTCGTTTTGGTAAACGATAAGCTGAATCGATGTCCTAACGATCATATAACGCGAAGGAGCTTGGGACTAAACCCACGGTCTTCTGCTCAGTAAGCAAAAACGTTTGCCACTAGGCAGACGAGCACCTTTTTAATCACCGAGTTGCTGTTATTACCATGTAGTCATGTTAACAAATAAAACGATTGACGAATCTTGAATGTGGATGGGTCTGAGATTAGACTCTTGATGTTCTGCTCAGTAAGCAAAAACGGTTGCTCTAAGGCCACCGAGCCCCTCATATCACATAATACCGTTGCTCAAATTGTTGTATCCATTCAAACACGGAACCAACGACAACAACGAGTTTTGCAAAATACACAATACACAAGCGATTTTACCATAAATCTCTTTGATATGTAAAGACCTGGGACCGCATTTTTCTGCTCAGTTAGCAGGCCACTGTAACCAAAGATCTTTCAAATCCGAAAACTAAAAACTACGAAAAAGTACTTAGGCCTTCATTAAGTTCCACTTTCACGCGACGTTCAAAGACAGGGTCCTATCCAGGATTACATCTGAAAAATCCAAATCTGGCCAACGGCCACCCTAAACCTAAACCTGCTCTAATCCACCTGAAATGACTAACGAATGGAAGACTTTGACTACCCAGCCATGCAATAGTCTCATTCCGTGCCTTATGGCAACTTGATGCTTCTAT